AAACCAAAAAAAAAAACCTAAAACCTTCAACGACCAATTTTTCTTACTATTTCTGGATTAATTACCATTTTCAAGGGCAGAAAGACCGGGGGGCCGAAATGTTTTTGGAAAAAACCTGCCACAAAACCAGCAACGTCAGGGCTTCTTCTATACCCTTGCTATTGAACTACCAAAAAACCTTTAAAGGGGGGCCCCTTAAAGTAAAAAAAATAGCTTTTGTCAGAAGACCTAAAAATTTTTTGTTCTCTAAAAGAAACCCCTGCGGTTTAAACAGGATCAATTTTAAAAAAATACTGACCGAGCAATAAAACCCAAAACCTGACTTTATCCATTTCTTGATCCAAAAAATTAAATTTTTCATTTTTCACGGAAAATGCAATTTGACAACAGAAAAACCACCTTCCAAACATCTTGCACAGTTGAGCATAAGGAGCTATATCAGATGTTTAACATGCCTGTCGGGGCAAGCAGGTAAGGGGCTTTAAGTCTCGGGGCTTTAAAATATCAAATGTATTGTTTCCCCCTTTTTAAAAAAACAATTTCAGGGGAAAAACAAAATTTTGTGGGGCAAACCTTAAAACCTTTTCATGGGCCGGGAAGTCCCTGATTTAAAAAAGAGACAAAATCAGCACTTTTTCTAACATCACAATTTTTTGAAAATTTTTAAACTTATATATAACCCCAATAGCGGGGCTGAAGATAATACTGATTTAGGCCTTTTGGGGGACTGACACCCTTTTCAAAAAAAAAAAACGCAAGTTTTGTTGGTAAAGGGGAAAAACATTTTTAGACAGGGAAAAAAATATACAGTTTCTTAATTGGGGGTTATATGAACAAAAGCGTATTTGGAGCAATCAAAACTGAAATTTCAAACCCCTCTAATCCCCAGCCTTTTAAGTTCAAGTTTTTGCCCCCATAACCCTCCAAGGGGCAAAGGGCCCATTTCCTTGTTGCGGAGGTTTCGCTACTCATTGCCCCGACATCTCCGGATTTTGGTAACCTAAATGGGGGGGAAATGACTTTTTGGGACTCGGTAAAAACCAAGTCTGACCTAACCTTTTGGGGCTATCCACAGTTCATTCGTTTGAATAACATCTAACACTTGTGAAGTAACCCAAAATGGGCTTTTAACAAAGTTTTTTTAATGCTGTTGCCCTAAAAAAAGGGAGCGTCCCACGCCCCGGGACAAATGGCCCCATACCGATTTTTAAACCCTCTCAACTGACTGCTTTTGACAATTTTGCAAAGCGGTCATGGTATGAGGCCCCCAAAATTTTGTCGATATTTGAACAAATCCGGGTTTTAAACACCCAATTGGGTTTTTTGGGGGGGTGTCCTTGACAATAATCCGAATCCCGGGATTTTACCCCTGATATTTTGACATTTTGATTGGAGCCCCCAAGACTTTTGCTTCTGCCCATATTGCTTTTTGCTAAGGGGAAAGGGGGGATTTGACCCCCATGGGGGTTTATAAACCGGCTGATAATTTCTTTTTAAAATTTGAATATTTTTCCCCAATAAGGGGGGGAAAAAAAGCCCTTTAAAGCCTTTAGAGGAAAAAATTTTTCCTCTCTTTCGAAACGGGAAAACGACTTTTCTTTTGTTCCGGGTCCCCCAAAAAGGGGGACCTTTGAAAATAGCCCCCCAACCCCCCAAATGGCGGGACCCTAAAATCTGACCTTGAACTAACTTCTTTAATATTACTTTTTCATTCCATAAAAACAGATTTCTAACCCCCCAATTAAGTTTTTGTAACCCCTTCAGGTGTAATGAACCCTGATGGAAAAAACCCCCCTAACCTAAAGAAAACGATATGGTTCTGAAAAACTTTCCCGGGAAAATAAAACCCCCAAATACGATGCCACCCCCAAAAATTTTGCCCCTAAAAACCTAAATGTAATACGCTTGGGTGTAACGTTTTAAACGTATGCACGCTTTATTTTAAGGGGGTACGAACAAAAAGCGCCTGATCTTACATTTTTTTTACATGCTGAAATAAAACCCCCAATTAAAAAAGACCCAGAGGTTTTAATTTGTTTTTAAAAATTGAAGAAAAAACCCAATTTCAGTCAATTTTGTAAAAACGGGGTTTAAACGGATCAGTAGCAGGACCTAAAAAAATTCCAACAGAAAAGTCAAAAAACGCAAGTAACACTAACCCAATAGATCTAAGAAAACAATAACAGTGCAGATAACTTTTTTTAAATTTTAATTGGACTGCACAAAAAACCAAAAAAGGTAAATCCACCGTAAATAAATTTATCAAATCTAAAACCTAAAAAATTTCTACTTTACAGCAACAGGAATGTAAAAAAAGCCATCTTTTTTATATTGGACAAAAAAATCTCCAGGTTTAATCAAATGAACAGTATCTCTAATGTCTTCATTTGCTTTTTGGCCAGTACAATAAGAGTTAGTTTCGCAAATCGTATAGACGAAGATTGTTGTTCTTTTTTGGACACAATGAATGGGATTAACACACGTTGGTTTTATATCACATTTTTCAAAACAATCAGCGTCAATAAGCCCCGATATTTCGTGTCTAAGAAAAATGTTACTCCTTCGACTGTAAGAATTTATTATTAAGTTTCAAATACTAACACTTACTGGTGACGAAAAAAGGTAATTTCTATTCATTTGCTTTATCCAGTTCAAATGTAGGCGGTGCCGTCGATATTTTTCCACACGCGTCTAAATGATTTCCGAAGCGTACTAATACACATTTAATGTTAAAGGGGAAAAAACCTTATATCGACTCCGAACCTTCCACGTTGAGTTGTCCTCCCTTGGTTTTCCTCGATTTAGGAAATTGCCTCATTAGCAAAAACTCTGGAAAACGTCCACCGATTCTGTATATAATGAAAACAACCTCGTCCTCGCGGACGGGACAAAAAAATACGATGTCCACGGCTCCTCGCTCGTCGCCAGATCCAGATTAACGGTCCAGCGTGCAGCTAATGTTGCTGCTGATCGCAATGTTTCCAATGAAGTTTGGTCCGAAAACCCGAAGTATTTTCTGAAGATGCGGAATATTTTTGCAGTTGACGTGTCAAATTGACCATTAACAAGTAAGAAGCAAACTCCTCTGAATTATATTTAAACCTGTGTGCGTGAGGATAAGAAATGAAGTTATCCAAAGTTTTCTTGATCTAAAGAACTGCCAGAATTCCAAAGTTACCCAACAGTTTATGCCATTTTTCACAAAACGACCACATTTTACAATGACATTCAAAATAGCAGGTTGAAATACTTCTCTTAATACCTTGTCTACCTGTCATTAATCTCAGTTCTGCCGGAATTTTTACCCTTACTCAAAACTTCCTTCAACGATTGGGAACTGCCGCCCTGAAAGTCCGGGCTGATTAGCTAAGTAGCGCCCGTCGCTGAGACAAAAATGGCGGATTACTAGCGCCCCCCAAGGCCTTAAAGTGGAGGAATGGAATCCTCAGAGCTCGCTCTGGCGAATCTGGTTCACGATAATACCTTTCCTCAATGTTTCTAAGTCGATTATTCAAATGAACTCATAAATTCATCAAACTTATTTTTCAAGTGGGGAGAATCAGACAATAATCCGAACTTTTTTGCGAAGCACAAAAATGCACGTCCTGACTGTAGGAATGAACAACGCGAGAACAAATTAATACGTCACACTTATGTTGACTTCATATGAATAGTTGTTGACTCACGTGACTACTATTCCGTTGTATTTCAATTGTTACATAATATTAATATAATGTTAAAACAATATATTTTTTGCATTTAATTGATAACGCTTCAACGATATAATTAATATTCTAAATTGATATTTTTCTCCTTTAATTGTTTTTTTAGTTGAAACTTGTTAAATCAACGCGATTCAATAAAACGTTAATTTCAATTCATCAGCCCACTGTGCTTATCTTTTCATTTCAGGAGAAATCTGAAATGACATCACAATTAATTAAGTTTAACAAATGCAGATGCTGATAACATTATAACATCGCTTCTAAGTTTCCTATGGCAGTTTCCTACATAATCTTTAGTCTAATCATAGTTATATCGTAGTCTGAATCATAGTACGATGGGGACGTAACAATCGTCATCGACGATGAGTCGTCATTTAGTAATTCATCAAAAATCTTGTTGGTATGTTATACCTATATAAGCTGTCTGTTGATGTCATATTGCAATGTGGGCATTTCGACGTTGACAACGGAGTATAGATTTTGGAAGAAGATATTTTTCAAAAACATTTTTTCTTTAATTAGGGGTCAAAGTGAAACAAAACGCTTTTTTCCTTTGGCAGAGTTGTCAACTGTTTCCATTGCTATAAGGATTTCATCAGTTGCCCGAGAAGACTGAATGTTTGAAAGGTTTGTACATTCTAATATAAATTTTTCTCTGTAGTCATTTTTTCGATAAATATCGATACATTATCTGACTGCATATAAAAATAATTTAAATCATGTTGAACATTCCTTGCTTGTTTCGAATGGAATTTTTCTACCAGGTATTTGCTTGAAAGACACGCGCACGTGACACCCTGCATTCTGTGTAAAGGTTATGCATCTCTTATTATCGTAGATTACAAATCCATCTTTTATCGGAAGCCCAATTTCATCCTCGTAAGCTGGTCGTTTGGGATTTTTCTTCTAAATGTCCTTCCATTTACATCATAAAGTGACACATATTTTTTGATGATAAGATGGATTGCAATTAGCCGCTTTCACTTACGTATTCTTCTCGTTCTTTTGATTTAAAAAACAGTGTTGACATTTCTACATGCTATCACCGATTCATGTAATAACAAGCGTTGAAATAGGCAATATAACGAGAGGGTGATAAAATCTGTTGTCATCATATGTTGTGATCGTCATGATGATCAAGTCCCCAACAAAAGACATTCATAACGTAACGGGCTTTTGGTGGATTAATCGCCGAAACTGGAATCTTCATATATTAAAATTTTTGGCATTTTTTTTTGATTTCTGCTTTGTTTAACAACGAAAACAATAACATACTGTGTTCCATTAAACTTTTTTTTGTTATATTTCAGGAGCTGTTTAATGCTAAAATCATCTTCGTTTGCCGTAAAATTCATTTTTGTGCATGCATCCTTCGGTAGGTCAAGCAGCATTAAACTCGTCTCTGGATAGCTTCTTACGGAACAGACTAGTGATCCAGTAGTATTCGTACATGTTCCAGATATTTCAACAGTGCCACCCGATTTGTCTTCTTTCAATGAATTTGATTTGACTCGAAACCACTGATCTCTCTCCAAATCTAAACACCAGAATGAATCCCCGTAGTTACCTTCTTTCATAATGAGAACTCGTCGATCAATCGATCCAGCAGAGGTCATATGTTCTGATTGTATATGGCAAGCAACTTCTGCATTATTCAACGCTTCTTGCAAGCATTGATTGGAAATCGAATGGAAATCTATGTTTGGCAGTATTTCCTTCATATGAGCCTTCCTAGTATTAGGATTTGCATTTAACCATTTAAGTAAGAACAGCAACCTGTCGTCCATTTGTACATAAGATAGCCGTTTATCTGAAAACAGCAAGTGAATAGAATCTTTTGTCAGGTTTACTATCTGTGGCAACTGAAGCACTTCTGGCAGGTGCTCTTCAATGTATGTTGTACATCTCGGAATTTCAAAATCGTAAATGCTTGACAGCTGTAGGAATTTCATGCAATTTTCTCTAGTAATAGAAACAGTTTTCAACCAGGCTATGCAGGCAGACTTTAAGTTTGGAATGAGAAGAAACTCAGCCATGTGTAGGATATTTTCGATATTTTCATCATTCAATTTTGGCTTCTTACCATACAGGAACATGATAGTTGTCTCGAGTGTTACAGGTGTTCCCATTGCTATTTCAATTATACCTTTAAACAAAAATTAAAACAAAATTTATTGTTGCAAAACATATTAAAATACCAATCGTAGATCAGTTCCACATCAATGTGCTCTGCAAAATCTCAATTTAAACTTACATGATATATTTAAATTTTACCTAATCTTAAGATATGTAGTGTTTTAAACTCTAATTTGTATGAAGAGAGAAAACAGAAAGCCCAAAACGACAAATTTGAAAATGTTGCAGGCTCGTTTTGATTGAGCCTGTTTATTGCCGATAAGTGAAAGTGACTGTCCTCGCCCGCTAGCACCGGTTAAAGCAGAATTCAACTGTTAAACATGTAATTGTAAAATTTTGAATTAAAAAACATCCGCAGATGTGTTCATACGGCGGTTATCATGAAATCTTCAATGTGACACATCCGTCCGTTTCCGTTAAAAGCGGCGTATGGTACCCAAGTAATAGAAAGTGTGTGCCTTAACGAGAAGACAATTGGTGGAACTAAACAGAATGGAAACTTTGAAAGGGGATCAGACGTTATGGAGCCTGCATATCACAGAGAAGACGTCAAAAGACAAAGTTAAAAAGCAGGCAAAATATCCTAAGGATGATACAACATTATTCAAGTAGGAATATTGGAACCACCTAACTAGAAAATACAAACAATTCCACAAACACAAAAGCAATGTCGTGCTGAACGATCTTTAAGGATAGGAAATATAACATATCTGATTGAAAATACCGGGCGACTTTTTACAGCCTGAACACGGCACAAACCATGCTGATGTGGCGAAACAAAAAGAAAAATATGACTCCCTAAAGAAAGCCCAAAACGGCAAAATTAAAAATGTTGTAGATCTATCAATTTGGTTTCTGTTTAATGTGAAGCCAGAACAAACAAACAAAATACCTGTCTGCCCTTCCAGGAAATTGTCGTTGAGAACATGGTCAAAGAAAGGACTTATTACAAGAACACATCGATGGAACTTCTTCTCCTGTAAAAATATACATAAAAAAACAGTTGAAGTAAGATTATGTAAGAATAATATTGATAAATTGATATCAACTACTGACCGCATAAACAACAAATGAGCCGCGTCATGACAAAACCAACACAATGGGTTTGCGACCAGCATGGATCCAAACAAGCCTGCGCATCCGCGCAGTCTGATCAGGATCCATGCTGTTCGCTTACAAACCCTATTACAAGTAGAGAAAATGATAGCGAACAGCATGGATCCTGATCAGACTACGCGAAGGCGCAGGCTGGTCTGGATTCATACTGGTCGCAAACCCATTATGTTGGTTTTGTCATGACGCGGCTCAAATGTATTTGTTCAAGGTGTCCCTTCATTCGTTTCTTCAAATCAAGTTATGAAAGTAAAAACTAAAAAATATAGGTCATACAAGTAATGTCAAATATCAAGTGTTCTTATAGATATAATTTGGTGATAAAATTTGTAACGATATACCCTTTAGTTCCTGCGTTTAACTTAAACGGGTATTACGATTTTCGAAACCCGACAGATGTTTAAAGGTGTGAACTTGTTAATAAATTTTAAAAAAAAACAAGGTTAAAGATTGCTCTTAATTTGTTTAAATTGTTTTCTCACCCTTTTCAATAGCTATGAGTACACACGTATGTAAATTTTATCAATTTTATATTATAGAGGTTCGACTTTATCTCTACCAATACTCGTTAATCGGTAGTTTATATAGCTTGGATAGTTTTCGTCAGATAATCATTTTCTAAAAATGAATTTTACAATACCGTCATCATACATTTTGTAATACTTAGTAAAACGAAAGTAACAACATAAGATATTATAATAGCTAAACCAGCAATGTGAATAATATACTTTGTTTATTATCACAAAATGATCACTTAGCCCAATGTATATTCTTTCTTTCTTTTTTTCTTTTTTAATCTTTCTTTTTTTTCTTTCTTTTTTTTCTTTTTTTCACTCTGTTATTGTTGTTGTTGGGTGTGTTGTTACGTACATATTTTTTCAAATAACATACTAAGGAATTTCGTTTTTAGATCAAGAAATTATAACGAAAGATTTATATGTATAACTACGCACTGTTACAACGAACTTTGGGATCAAACGCACTTTGGGGTCCGACCCCAAAGTGCGTTACACTTCGCACCGCACTTTGGGGTCAAACGCACTTTGGGGTCAAAATCGAGAAATTGACCCCAAATTGCGTTATTATACTACATATCAACGCACTTTGGGTTCAAAAGTTCTGAAGGTGTCAACTGAGTTCTGCTTAAATACTGAGTTCTGACTTATTTTCGATCTGCGACATTGAAATATTTGAGGTGGAGTTCAAGATGGCGGTTTGATGCTTAATTAATAAAAGTTTCATTAATTTTACCACTTGAAATATCTAAAATTGTGTCCATATAACAAAGCACTAGTACATAAATTATTAATGTATCCTAACATTAAAAGATGCTGGGAAAAAATATCATGTTATCATCTTCTGTCAGTCATAACTTTTTGTGCCATATTAAGCCCCATTTTAAATATGATGAGGATGAGATAAAATGCAGTAAATAATTTAAAAAAAAACAAACAAAAAAACTATAAAATACTCTATTGCAATGTTCTGGTGAAATATCCAGTTTCTAGATCAGACTATAAATAGTTAGTACATTAATTAGTTACTAGTATTTAATACATTACTAAGTTTATCAACAAACTTAAGTTTTTTGTAAAGAACCGTTCGCCAGAGGCCTTTTAATGGGAAATCTTACATACTTCTCCCGATATGTCAAACATGAATTTTTAATGTTTAAATAATAGTACCAGAGAAATTTAAGATACTTGTTATCTGAATAAAGTAGCGATTAATGTGAAAAAATTGTCATAAAAGTAGCAAAATGTAAACAATGTAGTATTTGACTTCAATATATACTAATTCACTATAACTGTACTCATTGCCAAAATGCAACAGATGAAAAAGATGGTTCAGATAATTGGCCAATGAGTAACTTTTTGGATACTATTGAAGTACACCAAAATTTAAAAAAAAAGTAAAAGCACAATTAGCCTTTAAAACGTTATTTTTATAATATCGGGGAGATCGGGACCCCACCATCCTTTCTGGATCTTCCCAGTCAGAACTTTACATTATTGTATTTTCTGATCGCAATGCTGACATTCAATCTCTGGCACAGCGCTTCTCGACAAACCTAATAACAATTATTTCTCAAAACAGCTTAAAATTAGCGATGTAAAAGAAAGAAATATTTTTATTTTCTTACAAGTATCCAACAAATTACAACGTTGGCTTATAGAATTGTCAATAAATGCACAATCACAAATTACGCGGATGAATATCATTTTAATCAATGAAAATGCTATTTTTAGCGATGTCGATTACCGAATACTTCAGATAAATCTGACTGTCGAGTAGTGGAATATATACATGTCAGACTGTTTTGGAGAGAATATTTTTGCTAAATTATTGACATCAGTGTTAAACAACAGGTTTATCGTGAACAAAATACCTCGAATTTTAAGGATTAGAAACCCTAAAATTCTATGTATTCAGTTTTCTTCTTACAAATTCCCCGTGGTGCAGGGGTAACGTGCTCGTCCAAGGTGCGAGTGGTCTGGCGTGACAGTCGAGACAACTATTTTTAAGTGTCTTTTTTAAGCCACAATATGCAAGGATAAAGTGTGGCTGTCATTAAAAGATTAACATAAATGATTTTTGATGCAACTCTGGTCATGCAAAAGTGCGTATGTATCAAGCTCAAACTGTTTCAGTAATAAATATTAACTGCATCTCGGTGCCCTGCAAGATGAATTATAGTATATAAAATAAACTTATACAGGAAAATGCATACAGATATACAGTACGATTTAGTTGCAAAGATCAGAAAATACCACAGAGCTTTGCAGCCCTTTGATTATGAATGTGTGACTACTTAAATAAGTTATGATATTTTTGTGTACTGCCTGTACGGACAACACTACTACTAAAATGTCAGAATTTATAACTTTGTCTATTGTTAAGACTATTATATTTCTAAAAAATGTATAAATAAAAATAGACGGGAGTAGTATGGAAATGATTGCGAAGCGTTCCCTGAGCCTGAGCAGGATCGGGATCGGGGATTAGTTACGTAATCGATTAAGGATTAGTTACGTAATACAATAACAATACGATAACAATACAATAACAATACAATAACAATACAATTAAAATACAATTAACATACAATTACGAATACACAACTTATTTTTAATCCCATTTGCTAATCCCATTTGAAAGGGAGATGATTATCCCTTAAAAAAATAAGTATAGCTTTAAAGTGCCATCAAAGATGGCGGAGTGTTTAATAAGCAAACAGTTCGGCCGAGATTGAATGGAGGCATTAGACGGTATGTATTGAAATGTTTTTTCAAGACACATCCAAACAACAATTATCACGCTAATGTATATTGTCTGTCTGCCAGGGGATACATGGCCTTGGCAAAAGTGAGCTAGCTGGCCGTAAAATTACTTGTCTATATGACATAGCCGTTATTAATTAAAACACTGTCACACACAGTATGGAGCTTACAGCAGCAGACAAATCAAAAGTTGGACAGCAGCACAGTGTCGTCTGCTCACTCGAGTTTTCGCTGCAGATACATTACGCGAAAGCTATTGTAAAAAAGTTTGAAAAGATCTCGCGCTTGTTGTGCTTTGGCTGCAAAAACAACTACCTGTCTCAGCGTGATCATTCGTGCACAATGCTTGACCGCGGCAGCAAACTGAATGTTCATTTCTGGGACATTATCGGAGTAATGGACGAAGAGGCGGAAATTGAGAAGTGGTACAGATCACAAGCGTGCAAAGAGTTCGAACGGTCTGTACTTGATATGTTAATGCTTAAATTACGATGCCGAGATTACAGGGAAACACGGTTGGAAAAGAAGCGTCGATCGCACAATGAATGCTATCATAGTTTTTTGTATTGAATAGACCAATTCGAGTCACATTTTTGGGTGAATCACATTGGCAAGCAGTAAACAAAAACAAAATGGCGGCGAACGAAAATTAGTTACATCCGGGCACATTTATGTTGTTTTACAAAAATGCAACGTAATGTGGCATTAAAATGCAAAGTGCGTACGTACCCTATAAAATTGCGTTTTAGCGGAGACAATAGATTAAAATACTGACACCGCCATTTTGTTTTGTATTTAACCATTATGTATTACGGAAATTAATTCAAATGGACGGAGATAATGAATTCCATGTGTTATCTGTGATTGATGTTCTAACTTGATCGTCAAATCCACTTTAATGCAAATTTGCCTTAAAATAATGATGATAATAATACTACTAGTAATAACAATTTTTGAAATGTGTACATGTATAAATAAACCAAATTCTATTAAAATATGACGTATTGATTATTAAAAAAAAAGAAAGAAAAAACACCTGCGATTGTTACTATAAAGCCAATAAAAATATATATTGTATACAATATAGTCACAATGAACACGCGCGAAAAATATGACGTATTGATTATAAAAAAAAGAAAGAAAAAACACCTGCGATTGTTACTATAAAGCCAATAAAAATATATATTGTATACAATATAGTCACAATGAACACGCGCGAAAAATATGACGTATTGAGTATTAAAAAGAAAAAGAAAGAAAAAAACACTTGCGATTGTTAATATAAAGCAAATAAAAAAATATATTGTATACAATATAGTCACAATGAACACGCGCGAAAAATATGACGTATTGAGTATTAAAAAGAAAAACAAAGAAAAAAAACACCTGCGATTGTTAATATAAAGTCAATAAAAATATATTGTATACAATGCAGTTACAATGAACACGCGCGAAGTTAAAATAAGTGATGGGCTATGTCATTTATAGAGTTACCGAATCCAATTGATTCTTTTCATATATATTATTACCTCCCCTGGTCGCGCCATTTTGAGGGTCATTCTCAATATATATCATATGATTAAGATAAGAAAAAAAATCTGATATAATACTGTCATCTTCTTATAAACTGATGAACATCT